AGACGGGAGGGTTAAGAGGAGGCTTTTATCCACCAGCATTAGGCTAGCCCTTTTTTTGCTCCCCTGCTATACGTTTCTTACTGTCGCCACCGTCACTTCCCAACCCTTTCCACGCTGTAAAACTCACACTCTAACCAAAGCGAGGGGCGAATCCTCGAACCAGGTCTGGGGCAAGGCAGAGGGAGAACTGTTTGGAAAAAACAGAGGTTTCGATTTGCGCAATAACCGTCTCAGGTAATGGAAAATGCGTTCCTCTGACATTTGAGATTTGCTGTCAGCCTTTTCGCCAAACTTTGCCCTTTCCGCCGCTATTACGGAGGCACCCCCAAGGCCTGAAACTGCAGAAGTCTTCCAATAAATCGTTCTGCAAGGCCCAGCTCAGCAGCCTGCCCTGGGCAGAGGATGGCCGGCGGTGTGTCAGGGCCACAGGGTTTTCTGCCACATCTCCCCGTATCCCTGCTCCCCACGGCCACGTGTTACAGGGTTTTTTCGGCGAGGGGTGGGGTTATTTGGGGTTGAATTCTGCAAGAAGGCTCCTATAGGGCTCGTGGTTGGCCTACGTCAAGCTGTCGGTGAGCGCGAAGAAGAGAGCCCGAAACTTGAAGAGCAAATGTGTCCCCAGAGAAGCTCGCGGGCTTCTTCTCTGTTTTCTGTTTTTTACTCTTTCCTTTTAAGAAAAAAGAGAGGTTAAAACTGAAGTGCTTCAAAGAGATGGGAGGAAGTGAGGGTCCTGGCCAGCAGCCCCGCAGATGCAGGTGCCTGGGCCAAGAGAGGAGCTGCCATAAAGCAGAAATCGCCCGAAACCATTGCCACGCAGACACAACCCATCTTCCCCCCACCCCACCCTGACACTTCTGTGCAACATCGACGCTTTTTTTTTTTGCCTGAAAATAGCAGCTCATCGCTTCACGACTGCCTCGTGATGAAGGATGCAAAGGAGCATCTAATTTCAGCTCCTACAACAGTGTTAGGGGCTCTAATTGCCCCCTTTAGGCTTCCCTGGTGGGCCCAAGTATCATCTCTGAGGCTTCTCCTCTGAACCACTTTCAAAAGATCTGAGGATTTTTTGCTTTTCCTTTTAATGCCTTTGGCTATTTGCTCTTTCAGCTTATGCCGCGTTTTACTGCACTCCGCCTTCTGCCCCTTTGGACTTGTAGGGTTGCGTTTCCCACCACTCGAGCACAGAGATGTCTTTAAAGGTCTGGGGGATTTCTGCTACATCCCAGCCCTGTGTGATTCAGGATTTCTCCTTTGCTCCAGCCCGCCCAGCTCTCTTTTGACTATCAACATGTATGCACAGACTTTGCACTGAAATTTCCAGCCTTCTCAACCCGGACTCTCAGCATCTTTTCACTCTGTTCTCCTTTTCAAAAGTCCTCTTTGCTGAACTTGCACGTTTGAAAAGGGTGAGTTTTGGGGACAAACCCTCACTGCCCGCCCGAGCCTCGCGGCACCTCCCCGGCAGATCTTGCCTTCTCCTCCCCGTGGCCTCAAGCAGCTGCACTTGCTCCATCTTGCTTGCTCCAGTTGCAGCATCTCTGGGCTGGGACCTGTCTCCGGCTCAGATCCATTCGGGAGCCTCCTCTGCTGCCAACCAACCTCTTCCCGTCTCGCTCCGCCGCCTGCCTACCTGCCGCCGCCTCCCCCGAGGCGGGCCTTCCAGGCAGTGTCCTAGTCTG